CGGCGGCTGCTACATACGATTGTACATCATCTATCATATCATCCTGCGAATTTATTTCTCTCGTCAAATCGTCGACCTGATATAATATAAATGCAAAATGCAATTTTACCCACCACCATAATAGCGATACGTCCTCCGACATCTCCAACAACACTTATAGGTGGTTTTTCCTTCGCTGGATGCAAAGGTACACCAACGCCAACCTCCATCGTACGTGCGGCCAATGCTAGCGCAGGTGGCGAATAACGACCATCGTTCATGTCTGATTCAGCTTCTCTCTGTTCTCCATGAATCACTGCAATTCCCAGACGCAGTCTTTCAGCATAGCTAGTCGCTTTCTTCGCACTACCTGGATTTCTTGCAACGATCACAGAATTATGATAGTCAGGAATCTGACAAAGAGAAGATGTAATTTATATAAAAAAAGTATGATATAAAAACACAGACACATATCCAGTGAGAAATGACAATGGAATCGACATCAAATTTGACATCGATTCCATTGTCATTTCTCACTGGGTATGGAGTAACTTTTGAATATCTTAAAGTAAAGATATAATTCTATGATATTATTAACAGAGAAAAATATATCATATCTGTATTTTCAATTTAAGATATTGGTCACGCTTAAAATAAGTTGCTATTATAATCCAAGATGCTTTAAAATATAATTATTACTAATAATTCATAATAATTATATTAAAATCTTACTACATACGGATTCTTGAATATACTGCAAAAGGAATGGGCTAGCTCTCAAATTATCCACTGGAACATCAAAGAATCCTTGGATTTCTTTCTGGTGGAGATCCATGGTGATAATATGAGTTAGGCCGCTTGTGCATAACATCTTTGCCAAAAGCTTGGACACTATGCAACCGCGTTTACGCATTTTGCACTGCTTAGAATAAGGTAGATATGGAATCACTCCAACAATATTTTTGGCTGATGATGTTTTACATGCATAGGCCATGATGAGAAGCTCCATTATGTTATTGTTTACATCCTTTGTACCAGTTTGGATTAGATACAAGTCTTTACCACGTACAGAATCCCCTATCTCCACCATTGTCTCACGATTGGACTTGTGATACACAGCGCAACCACCAGGTTTCACACCCAAGCGACTTTAAACATAAAAAAAACATTGTAACAAATATCTTTTGCATTTCCTTTCTGTAACAAATCAATTTAAATGTATTAACTTTAGTTATAATTAGTGATAAGCAGCAAATTATATTAAAATCTATACTTATACTTATTTGCAGGGTTGGTTAAGTTATTAAAGATTAAATTAACAAAAAACTGATTTAGTTAAAGTTACGTTAAGATTGAATTAATTAAAGTTAAATAAAAAGTTAATTTTAAAAAACATTGCTTTTATTAAATCAGAATAATTTTTTAAAAATCAGATTACTTTAAATAACAAAACAATTATAATAAAGATAAATTCAACATTTTATTTGTAAATTTTATAAGATAAAGATATTTCTTGTACAATAAAAACTGATTTTTATTATTATTAAGATTTAAGAAACGACCGTATATATGAATCAAATACGATAGAGAACGCCAACACGATCAAAGGTAGATGTTTCGAATAATATGTATATTCTTTAAATTAATTTATTTCAAATATGATTGCGCACCGATAATTTTTCGGACTTTCAACACAATCAGTCTGAAACGCTGCTAATAATCCCCCCTAAATTAAATTACAAAAACTGTAAAGAACTTATTGTGAAAAATATTACCTCATATTAAACTAAAATATTACCTCATATTAGCTCATATTACACTCACCCCGGAAAGTCGAGAGGTTCGAACCCTGGTTGAGGTAATATTTTACGCAATAAGTTCTTGATAGTTTTTCTAATTTAATTTATGGGGAATTATTAGCGTTTCAGCCTGATTGGGTTGAAAGTCCGAAAAATTATCAGTGCGCAATCATATCTGAAATAAATAACTTTGACCATGTTGGCGTTCCCTATCGTATTTGATGATTTTTATTATTTTTATATAAGTATTTTTATATTTTAATATTTATAGTATAAAAGAAAAAAGTAAACTTTTTTAAAATGTAATTAATCTTGTACTCCTCTTTGTGTTAGCCATGCCTGCGCGTTCTTTGAAATTTATATGTGTGTGTGCAAATAAAAAGCTTTTATTCTTTATCGCCCATAAAACAAAGATAGCGTGACGCAATGGCACTGATAACACTCCCTAAATACAGATCCAACGCATGTTCATTTTTGGGCACTATGATCATTGACGCCCATTATTCAATTATTGAGCTCTCTCTCTCTCTCTCTCTCAACTAATTCTTTGATAATTAAGATTTTATAAAAAATAATATTAACATTTAGAGAGATAAAAGAAACTTTAACTTAAAAAGAAAAAGTTAATAAATTAAAGTTTAAAAGTAAATTAATTAAAAATTAATTTATTTAAAATTAATTAAATTAAATTAAAAGTTATTAGCTTTTTATTTAAAACTTTTAACCTACTAACTAGTTATTACCCAATTTTGCTTATTTATAATTTTGTATTGTGATGGAATTATATAACATTTTTGATCTAAATAACCAAATAAATCAATTTAGCATTACACACATTTATATCATGTATGTAGCAACTATAATATAGAAATAATGTAATTGTTATGGTGACATAACATTATTTTGTATCTGTTTTAAATCAATAATTTTCCAAACTAAAAATTATCACGTCTACTCCTTTCAGTTGTATTAATTAGAAAATTTTCTTCTTTTTCATATCTTGCAAAAATTAACTTACAAGGGAAACTTCCCAACTCGGAAATTTAAGAAATTATACAACTTTGCAATATACAGAGAATATCTTGATATGTACTGTGTTACTTTCATTATCAGAATTTATTCTAAAATAGGATAACAATTCTTTTGCAGAAGAGGGACATTACAAAAAATTCAATATTAATTGTTGTAAAATTTTAATAGATAAACTTTTAAATAATTGTTAACAAAATATATAAACAATATCATATCATTATATTTATAAATAACTAATAATACTTAATGTACAACATCACATGAGATCATAACAAACCTAATATCAAGTTACGAGATCACATTTTATATCTGGATTTTTAAATAAAAAATCGTAAAATTCTTCATATATTGAAAATTATATCTTACTCGTGTTATTTTCACTTATTATTAAACATTTATTATTTTTATATTTAAAAAGAGACAATTAGCCTTTGCTAATCTTTTCGAATCCAGGTATAATTTTAGTACATGATAGACTCAATCATCCTGATCTATGCTAGATTCACATGATCCTGAACAATATTATTACATTTTTGTTACACTACAAATAATGTATTATTACATTATTTTATACACTACAAATAATGTATTATTAAAATATTAAGTTATTTCATTAGAAAAAATATTTATATTTAGATATATTTAATCTTTCATCTTACTAAATTAATAAGTCTATCATTAACATCATAGATTCTGAAAAAATTAGCAAATGTTCCAATGCAAGATACCAATATGGATAAATAGAATTATTTTCAGTCATAATTTTTCTCTTTTTTGATTTTTATCATTTAAACAATAAATAACTCAAGAATAGGATATTCATAAATAATCAATACACATCATAACAATCATCTGTAAAGGTTCAGCTCAATCAGAAGGATGTCTCATTTAGAAGTACAGCCCAATCATAATGACGCATCAAAACATCACTATTAAATACGGATTAGCTTTCATGTTTACATTTGACATTCCATTGTTCGCCACTCACCTTGCTATTAGATTTGCCAGTTCCGGGTGAGAATTGCCCGCGATGATGACTATGTCGGATGACACTGGCTTTTCCATTGCTCGACGATTGTTGCAGCTGCGAAACAAAGATGCCGAGACACTCGAGAAACAATTGGTGAGATATTCACCTGGAAAGAACTTTGATAACCGTAAATTTATCAATTTCTGAACTGTTCTCAATTCTCGAATCCGTACGTTGAGCAGACAAAAAATTGCGTGTTTCACAATTACGAAAAAGCAACAGAAACTTTCGCAACATGATAATTGGTTTATACAAATTTTTAATGATTTAGGAAAAAGATCATTTTGTTTTCAGGTAAATTTATTGGAGTAACGCAGAACTAAGCAATGTGTATACGTATAGAAAATGCGTCAATATACCTCGCGATAAACAATTGATCAAACTTCGTCACCTCACGCGCTTCTGACGCGATTACGTCGTATCCATAAACTTGATTAGACTACTCCCACATTTGATCACTTAACACACCTCAGTCGCTGTTTAATCGTTCGATAATCACCGCTGTTCAATTACGAAGGTTACTTGAAACAATTCTTTAATTTCTTCAAAGACATAGGTGAACTGCGCGATCCGAATCTAGAGTAGTATTCAAATGTGATCGACAATAATGACTACGGGAGCTTTTCAACAAGAAACACAAGGTCTGTTCGCATTACTTTAAATCCCCCAAAATTTTGGAACTAAAATGAGATAGATATATATTTGGACGTTGAAAAGAAAGAAAGCGAAGATGCTGAGTGCAAAAAGTGCATGCAACACGAACAGACCTAAGTTGCGTTCGGAAACGTTACCCGAGTGCCTCCGTGTTGAAATAAGATGATATACGGAGGCACCCAGTAATGGTTATAATGTTAGCGCGCTAAGATACTATACTTTACGTCACACATATTATAAAATTTCAGAAATAAAAGCGCGTTCTGAATACGGGCCAATGTTTCCGAACGCAGCCCATATAGGAGTATTAAGCCGGAAACACAATGAAAAGCACAATTAGAATAGGAAATAAGAGATTTCAACCTATCAGAAAGCGTCCATTCTAATATACATGGTTTCTGATAGGTTGAAATTCATTATTTCCTTTTTACTAATGCCTGTGTGCTTTTCGTTGTGTTTCCGGCTTTATATATACATACGAGTCTGCTGAATCAGCTGAACGCAACCATTTTACTACTTTACGTTTTTGTGTGTGTCAGTCTGTCAATGTGTACCATAGTCAGAAAGAGACATGGAGTGACATGAACTCTTTACTGTCACAGAAAGTATGTATGCGGTTCTTTAATTACCTGTTAAATACATACAAAGTTATTAATTGATTTAATACGCGTACCAAGTGCTCAGTGTAAAAGAGTCTATGTTGACTTGTGTCATTCAATGAGACACCCTTAAAAAACAGGCCAAATATAAGTAGTTATAGTTAAAAAAAAAAAATAATAGAAAGAGTAACTCATTTTTTTTGCACATTTGATATGTTGCAGATATCCAGGGATAACTTTGGGCCTTACATTAGACTTTGAAGATAATATCGACTATCAAAGATATCACAGTCATTCACAGTTCTCTAATAGATTGTTTGCTAAGTCATTAATTAATTTCGTTTTCAATTGTGTATTTTAAAAATCAGTGAAACATGCATGCGACACGCGCCGACACCTCCGAAAGGCGATTCGAAATACAGTGCAAACTGGAGTCTGAGATCGCTGCTCTAGAAGCGCTGAAAGAGGCAGAGGAACGCAGCCGACGATTGACGAATGGAGTAGTAGGAATACTCTCTTCCTTAGAAGACCGTTTAGCTACACTCCGCCGCACAATACTTCCAGTTTATAATGAGACTGAAAATCTTCAAGCACAACAACACAGTAAGCATTTGGTTCATTATTATTTCTCAAATTCCATCTTCCTAAAAAATTTTTGTAACATTCTTTCTCTATATTACAGATATAGAGAAAACTTTAAGCGTACTGGATCATGCTATTGGATATTACGGTGTATGTCAAGAAGTAGAAGCTGTAGTACGTGCCGAACCAAGTGGACCTGGTGGTTTAGATGGCTTTCTCGAAGCAATGAATCGACTGTACAATGCTCAGCGGTACTTCCAGAAAAACAATCCTAGCTCCGTCGAGTTACAAAACATCACAGGTCTCTTCTCAATTGGCCTAGAATCTCTATATGCTGAGTTCCATGACATTCTTAATCGCCAAAGTCGACCAATTCTTCCTATTGTGCTTCTGGATCTAATTGGCTCCGATGAGGACACCAATGGCGAGGATGCGCCACAATCCTTGTGCCAATTACCCGAGAGCGTTATGAGCGACTTGCTTAAGATTGCTGGATGGCTCGAGGAAAGGGGTCACCGTAGACATACGAAGATGTATGCTTCCGTACGTTCTGCCATCGTCTTGAGATCTCTGTTACTGCTCAAAGAACATCAGAGAAGCGCCAGTGGTGGTAGCACCCATGGTGGAAGCCCTATGCCTGTAAATAAATATATATGTGTGTGTGTGTGTGTGTATGTGTGTGTAAAAATATATGATGCTTTTTAGATATTAATATGGATATATTACCCACAGAGAGCAAAATTCGCTAACCGACACTCTCTAGATGGTCAAGAGAATGCGGGACGTAAAGCGTCGCGACGACTGCAGCACGCATTGGACAAGGCCAACAGAATGCTGTTGAAAGCGTCGCAAACGACGAGACTGAATCTGGCCCTGAATTCAGTGTCTAGGAAACCGACGCAGCTTATCCCGTACTCGATGGAAGATGCGGCACCCGACGAACAAGAGATGGAGAATTATCTTCTATTGGCGGCCGGCCTACACAAACTTATACAAGCTGAGCGTGCATTGGTCGCGAAGATTCTTTCGGCTTCCTTGCATGCACAAGTGCTCGAAGCCACCGTACGCGACGCGATGGATTTGGTCGCGCATGATGGAGACAGCATAGCTACGCGCGCCAAACGTTGTATCACGAGACGCGACTTCTCCGCCGTTCTCGTGGTTTTCCCGATTTTGAAGCATCTCGGCGAACTGAAGCCCGATTTCGAGAGAACGGTCGAAGGTTGTGATTACGCTCTCCGTTCCAAGTTTGCATCTGTGCTCGATACGTTACACTCAACCGTACGTTTTATCTTTTTCTTACATTTAAATGACTGATCTAAATTTTTATTTTAAATAAATTTAAAATCTTAAATATTAAATTAATATTTATAATTAAAATGTTTTATAAATTAATTAATAAGATTATAAAGGATTTCTGAAATTACGCCATTTCTCACTAATACTTCATCAGTACTCTTTGGAAATACATTGATGTGTCTTATCAGCAAACATATCTTATCTAATATTTTAAAGAATAAAAATGTAAGTAACATGTATCGTTCGGTTGATATAAACAGCAGTTGCGAGAGATATGCTTATTAAATGAATCAGTATATAAAAAAAGAAGTTTTCATCTATGCTTTATATATTTCCGATATCGTTCTATGCGAGACATTTTAATATATTTTTATATCAAGAGATTATACTTCAGTATGTTAGATTATTCACTTTTAAGACATACTACTAATATAGGTATAATAGCAACATATGATGAAAGAATTATTATAAGTAGAAACCGATGAAATTTTACAATTATGTTTAACATGAATTTTTGAAGATCAGTAATCTCTCAATGTTTTTAAAGTTACAAACCACTAAGCTACATTTCTATGTTTACTAGCTTTCTTTTACAAAAAAAACCATAATTTGCTTCGAAAATCGTTTTCTAAATTAAAATCCTTTCTCAAGGGAAAATAGATTTATATGGTCAAATTGAGATGAAAGATCCTTGCCATTTTTATATAGATTCTAACCCTTTGTGTGTAGTAATAAAATGAACGATTTTGCTGACAGATCTAAAGTATTGCTGGGTACAGGTCTGAAAATATTTTTATTGAAATATTAAAATGATTACTTTGAAAACTAAAAAATAAGCAATGTAAAAAATCTTAATATTCCAGTATAAGTTTCTAACACAATTACTTTGATGGTTCAATAAAGTTATTTTTAGATTTGTATCCAGTAAAATTTTAGATCTCATCAAAATCGTTTCTTCTTGAGAGTAAAAAATTAATTTACAATATAAAACTTACAACATTTAAACGATGTCCATTTAGTCCTTTCCTTGAAATACAAATTCCTCCAATTTAACTATACAAACCTCCCTCCTGTTTTCTATTAAGAAGATGTATAACCGACATAATGAAAGAAATTATTCAATTTTATAGGGAGCTAAAGCTTTGGAAGAGTTCGCGGAAAGTGTGAGAAATGAATCTGGTGCGGGTTTACCAAAGGACGGTACCGTGGCGGAAGGAACTAGCAATGTCTTGATTTTTCTGGAACAGCTGGCCGAATATGCGGATATGGCTGGTACTGTTCTTCAACGCAATCTTTTCACAGATCAGTCTGCGTTACACTCGAAAGAGCCGGAAAATGTACATAAAATGGTTCTCAGTGTATACATCAGTAAGTCCATGCTCATATTGTTTATTTTTCGTAATTAAATATAAACCAGCTGAAATGAAAATATCATTAATTTGACGAAAATTATTTTGTCCTCTTATAGAAAAGGTTCTTGCTCAACTGAATCTGGCGTTAGTGAGTAAAAGCGATGCGTCTTATTCCGATCTCGCTTTACGAGCTTTATTTCGGCTGAATAATCATAATTATGTAGTTAACGCTCTCCGTCGAAGTTCTCTTATGGAGCTACTCTTACTGGCCGAGCCAAGTGCGGAACAAACATATTACGATCTACTTCTTAAAGACAAAAACAATTACGTTACCACGACATTCACCAAGGCCCGATCATATCTCGCAGACGAACCAGGTTTGTACCTTAATTTCAATCAAGTTATAAACAAGATTCTCTCAAGTCACAGAAATAAATAGAAACATACGTATCTATTTTCTGAAACAATGATGAAAGTGTTCAACACTTGGTGGATCTAGACTTATTATTAATTGCAATAATTTCCGCACGCGTTTTTCCTTCGCATAGATCTCGCCGCCAAAATGTTAAAGGAGAAATTCTTGGGTTTTGCACGAGAACTCGAGGAAGTGACCAAGTGTCAGCGTTCTTACTCGGTGCCTGACAGATGTTTGCGCGAAGAGTTAAGGAAGGAATTGCACGAGGCGATTGTACCGCTGTACACCGCATTCTACAACAAGTATCGCGGCACGTCGTTCTCGAAGAATCCGGCGAAATACATAAAGTACACGCCCGATCAGATATCGACGCTAATCAACACGTTTTTCGACACCGCCGCATAATAACATACATGCGTATCGCACCGCAAAATGTTTGTCTCGACAAAGAATTAGTAGAGTATTTAATAAACACCCATTTAATAAAGCATATTTAATTACAATAGTTTTAGTGATTCTTTTCCGTGCGGACCGAATCTTTATTTCTTTCTCAAACAGATTGCACAGAGATTAATATAGATCTGCGACAATTGAGAGTCTAGTTAGGTCTTGGTCCAGCTTCCCCCCTCCCCCACATTTTGTTTTATATATATTTATAATATATATATAAAAAACAAGTAACAATTTAGATTCGATCATACCACTTACAATGTACAAAATCATACATTATACGTGATAATAAGGAAGAATACATTCAAAGTTCAGCATTTATGTACACAGTTGTTATATCATAGCAGATTTTCTCTCATTACATACTTACACACTCGTACTTTTCGCATTCGTTCTTTCTTTCATACAATAGCTCTCACTTTCTCGCATATATGACATATTCGCGCGCCCTCTGCTTCGGTAGTCATATTCTATTCCTTTAAATGCAGCATTACACTCCTTTTCTTTTAATTCCAATCTGATGATCACACGGTAATTCCCTGTGAGAAAGAACGTGATGAATTGTGCGCACTAATCACAGATTACTATCATCGCATCAGAAAATCATCACTTGCGAGTGAAACAACACGAAGCAGAGAAACCGTTAAACTCACAATTTGACATTTATACTTATATCACATACATCTAAAACTCTTGTACAGTTAGCTATTTTTTTCTCTCTTAAATTACGGTATGTAACATTTAATGTTAACCAATTTAGTGGAAGAAGGAAGCCATATTATGCGGCCGCTGCGCTACCAATTCCACTT